TCAACTTGCCCACTACCCCTCGAGGCCATTCGACTAGGGCTGTGGCTACCTCATCGGCCTTCGCATCGGGAATACTGATGGATGATGTATGTAGAGCTGCTACTTGGGCGAATCCTTGCACTTTCGCCAAACATTACCGCTTAGACGTCCGCGCTCGACAAGATTGTTCCTTCGGCAGAGCCGTTGTTTCATCTGTTCTTCGTTGAGGACACCTCCCCTCCTCCGTTATGGTAAGCTTGTTAATCTGCCCATATGTGTGATGCACAGAGGCCACAACAAAGAAAAGCAGGTTGCTTACCTGTAACTGATGTTCTTCGAGTGGCCATCTGTGCAGTCACACAACCCACCCGCTGGCCCCGCTCAGTGTCGGTGAGTGGACCTCTGTCGTTATTGAATGTTATCATTGTTTCTTGGTACTGATAGTCATTGTTCTCTCAGTACCGATACTGTTCACGGTAGAACTCATTTACAAGTCATTTTTTCCACAAGAGGGCATCCGTTCGGTCGTCAAAGACTGAACAAAATGGCGGTCGCTCTGCTCTTTATAGGCTGTGGGGGAGGGGGAGCGGAGCTTTTTTCCCGCCAAAATAAACCTTTAGCTTGTAATCTTCCAGCCAAAGGCACTGCGTAGGCACAGCACCCATATGTGTGTCTGCACAGATGGCCACTCAAAGAACATCAGTTACAGGTAAGCAACCTGCTTTTGCCAGATGGAACAGGGAGTTTTGCCTGTGGCTTTAAAAACACTAGCATAAGTGAAAGCCTTGCTGCTTGCTTCCTGTGCTGAAATAACTTAAGAGACTGCTCTTCCTCTCCTGACTGTAGCCAAATGTTTGAGTACCACTGTTCAGGATATATGCTGATTGGTCATTGAATATATGTGAATAGGATATACGGTCATGGAATTGCTCCTATTTGTTTCCCCCACCTGGCAAATTGCACTGATGGAAATGTTTTCAGAGAAAGGCTGGTAGCCAGTGGTGCTGCTGATGAAAGCACTCAAGCCAGGGTCTAAGGTAGGGATGGGGAACTACTGTCCCTGGCCATTGGCTATAGCAGCTGATAATAATCCAACATCATTTGGAGAGGCACAGGTGTCCCAGCTTTGCTTTACAGTCCTTGCACCTATTAAGAGTCAAAAATGTACCACACAAATGTTTAGTTATTCAAAAATAATTTTTACTATAACTTAAAGGTAGCAGTAAATATGAGAAATACAAATACCACAAAACTAGAAGGCAAATATAAGCCAAAAGTCAGTACAAAAGATGACCATTAAGACTGCAGGCTCATGTGAGCAATGTGCTGTAAAAACCCAAACACAATTATTTCACATGGCATAAGATATTTTTTTCCCTTCAGTAAACCTTCTGGAGTGACTGTACATATGTAGCTTTTAATCAGAGCAAATATAATTTATAAATACACAGATATATACAGCGTTGCAACATTCACAATCAAAAATACTGTCTTGCCAATTTGTTTGCAAAAAAAAAAAGGAGGCTTCTATTAGACTTCACTTTTAAAAACTCATCCACAATCTGTATGTATCAAAAGATGACTAATACTTCTCTACCTGCCCGCCCCCACCCTGACATTATCCAAAACTCAAGAGTTGTAGGTTTAAATATTGTAAAACTGTCACCCTAAGGGGATAGTTCAAGAGCTTCAATTGCATGCATGCCTACTTCAGAGTAAGCCCCTTTGAACTTAAGGCTATTTCCTTCTCACTAGCCTGCCTGTCACCCTGACTATTGTACATAGTGTGAGAAAGACGTGTTTATACCCTGATCTTAAACTGTTCTGCAGACCTTCTTTGTACCAACAAAACAGATTCTTGTACTCAACAAATCTTTTGAAACTTTGGAGGAGGGAGCTGTCTTCTGTGCACTTAGATGCTAAAGTATATTGCAACCATTTGTCCTTTCTGGAAAAGGGGGCACATTTAAACTCAACACTTGTTTTAAATCACCCATACAACAACTTGACAATTAAAGAAAATGTTCTGGGATTAATGATAGTCCATTACTGGAGGGCAGGAAAAAGCAAGAATAGAAATCTAGAATGAGTCAGAGAATTGATGCCTTTTGGAATTTAAATCCTGCTGTTTCTGGAGGCAGGTCATTATTTGAAGACTATTCATACTCAACTTGCCTACTAATAATAAAATCTGGCAGGGAAATACAGGGAAAAGGCAGCAGAGGCTCAGCACAGGAAGAAGTTAGGATGGCTTTAAAAATTTCCACTCATTTTGCTTACACTCTTTTAAAGGGAGCATCACATGTTTCAAATCAACACAATAATGCCCACAAAGCAAGCACCAAATTCAATTGGAAATGCCTCAATTATTATTTCAAAACATCTTTCCTGTTTCCTGAGGCTGATTTACAGCAACCACATAGATTCACTCAAAAGCAAAATAATCAGATCTTTGACAAAAGCTGTTTCAAGATATGCTACAAATAACCAATTGTAGCCCACAGGTGAGATCCCTCATTTCCCCGCCCCGCTCTTTCTTGCCTATTGGTGAGTCGATGAGTTTCAAAGCATTCTTCAGAAGAGTTTTGTTTTTGCAGTTGAGCTACAGCACCATCCTGTTTAAGATGACCAGCTGTTGAGGCTGCAATATATTAATACATAGATGAAATACTTAAAAGGCGGTGGCCACCTCATTTGCACGTCGCCCACCAACTTTCACAAATTCTCGGGGGAATTTATCTAGTTGCTCATATGCCAGTCGTCCATCTTCTCCTGAGGACATGTACACAGAGAGGGTGAGAATTAGATAAATATTTCATCAAAAGTACTGAGGCATACGAGGCATTATCACAGAGGCAAGGGTTGCTAACTGAACAGTTGTAGGGATCCTGAGTGGGTTCAAAACCATCCTTGTCCTGCCATGTAGTTTACTGGGCTTGGACAATATGGGGAAGTCACAAACTGCATCGATTATTAAGCAACTTGTGTGGCACAATCCTGGTATGTATTGGGGTAGGGAAAAGAAGCCCCCTTTCCTGTTGGTCTTTTGAACACAGCCAGTGTTTATTTACAACAAACCATTTAGTTTCTAAAGAGAGAGGCTCATAGCTGTGTGGAGGCTTATTTTCATTTGCAGTGGGACAATTCTAGACATTCCAGGTGGTAAGGGGAGGTGTCACTCTGCACACATTCAAGAATTGAACAGAAAAGGTTTGCTTGTTTGTTTGTTTGTTTAATTTCTATAGCACCCAATAGGCAAATCTCTCAAGTTCCTGGAACCAAGCTCCCTCCCTCCCTCCCTCCCTCCCTCCCTCTCCCCCTCTCCCTCCCTCTCCTGCTCTCTCCCTCTCCCTCCCTCCATCATATAGCTTGGTGCAGAGAGGGGGGGGAGCTTCCATTGCCACTTTGTCAGAATATACATATTTCTGTATGTATGATGCTTGAAAGTATGTATGCATGGGAATATGCAAGTACATACATGTGTACTTCCCATAAGTTCTGGTAATGGATTCTGACAATATGCCAGTGAAAGTGAAGCCAGAAGGTTTCTACAGAACATTTGTGTGTTACTTGACACACTCCATCTTCATTCAAATCTAGGGAAGTTTAGATAGTATTCTTGAACAGCTACAAAATGTAGTAATGCCTTCTCATTTCTATTCTCTGTTGCTTTTCTATTAACTTTTCCCTTTTTTGCCTCATTTTGTATCATTTTTTCCCCTCTGAGATATTAAAAAGGTACTTTATAGCAGAACAACATAATGTAACTCAACCTACCAAGAGACAGCAGCGTTTCAGAGGCTACTTTCCTGATATCTTCATTGTCAGACTGGCAAAGTGTGGCCAGCATTTTAATACTTTCTGTTGCCTATATAAGCAAACAAAATTCAGTTATTTTCCAAAATGAATACAGAAGCAGTCAGAGGGCCTCACTTTTCTTGGAAGAAATACAAGCTGCCAGTAAGAAACTTCTATTTTAAAAATTCAGAAAGTAGGAAAGCTAAGACACATTGGAGGAAACCAAAAAATGAGGCAACTGCTGTCTTCCTATGGGTTTTAATTAGAGGTTCAGCTAAATTTACAGTAATTTCAAACTGAAGTGGTGCTAGACTTTGTAGCTAGACTTTACACCAGCAACAGAGCCTGTGTGGATGCCGGCTCCTTTGAAAGCACAGGGCCAGAGCCCAATAGTATCCAAAGCAGATCCTCGTCCGACTGTGCACGCAAAGGAGAAGGTGCCTCATTTTCCTTGAGGTTATTCTGTTGCCTTATACAAGCATTGATGTTTCAGTTACAAGCACCTGGCATCCCCTCATGGGACCAGAATTCTAACATGTAAGTACATATGGAAAGCCATGCTGGATCAAACCAAAGGTCCATCCAGTCCAGCCGTCCGTACACATGCTCACAAAGCAGCTACCCACAGGATCTGTTAGGCAGGATGGGTGCAAGACCTCTTGCTTAAGCTTCTGAACAACTGATGCATGCAGGCAAGCCACCTCTGGTGAAGGAGGAAGCACATAGCCAGCAAGGCTAGTAGCCACTGATAGCCTCCTCCCTCATGAATCAGTCCAGTCATCCAGAATGGCAGCCATCACCACTTCCTGTGGTAGCAAATTCCATAGTTTAACTATATGCTATGTGAAGAAGTACTTTCTTTTATTTCACACAGTTCATTAGTACTTTCTTTTATTTCACACAGTTCATTAGTACTTTCTTTTATTTCACACAGTTCATTTCCCATCTTGGAAAATTTTCAATGTCACTCTAAAAAAATTCTCCACACTTTTGCAAAATGATGTCTAAATGGCAAATACAAAATAAGAATGCTCTTTTTGTTGCTGTGTGCTTAACAAGGGCTATTGAAACCCTTGTTGCTTGGCCTTTTGTTGTCCATGGGAAAGTAAAGAAGGCAGAAGCTTACCTGGAGGCATTTCAGTGCTAGGCAAGCTGCTTTCTGTAGGTGAAGGTTGGGCTGTGCAAGAGTTTCACAATAATAAATTAAAGCCTGAAAGAAAAAGGAAGGGGCCATGAGCAAAAAGAAGAAGAGAGGGCTGCAAGTGTGTTTCAGAAGAGAGGCCCAGCACCCACTGAGTAACTAAGGCATGCTAGCTGTGCCTTGAAGCTAGCTGAACGCTGAGGAGAGAAGCAGCAGGGGCATGTAACTGTATAACCTACCCTGGAGGGCAAAGTGCTGGGTTACTGCCAGAGGCTTGAATAGGAATAATGGCACCTAGTGCCAGGATGTGTGTTACCAGCAGGGGATGCAGAGTAACTGACCACTGTTAATAAGGCGGCTATCACTATAGCATTTCATTGACTATCACTGGGTTTCCTTCTGCCACCCGCCATATGTCCTGTACATAAAACCTTAAACTCTTCATAATATTCCACATGTCCGATGAAATGGACCACACTCTATGATTATCATTCTTATTATATTGCATTTATGCCCCACCTTAAAAGCTTATGCTAGAATAAATTTGTTATCTTTAAGGTGCCTGAGCATGCCTGTTGTTTTCAAGGTATGAGCAGTCCTCCGGATATGACTACAATGCACTTTGATTATTTGTAAAGAATCAAATTACTGTGTTCGAGGAACTGCTTTGCTCCTATGAATCACTTAGCCTTTAGGGTGCAGTGTGAATGTTCGATGTCAAAAAGACCCCGTGTGTGCTTATTTTATGTGTCTGTCATAGAGGTTAACTAGCACATTCTGTAATACTCGGAGATAATTTTCACTGAGCTTGAGAGAGCTCAGGTAAGAGAGAACAGGATTAGAACTTTGGACATTTAATACCCTGCTCTTCCTCATGACTTCTAATACACCGCATCAAAAATAAGTTAAGCTTAGTAACAATTACAGCAAACACAACAATCTGATTAGATAAAATTTAAGTTTGAAAAAAGGCCTGACTATCATAATACCTTCCACTATTTAATGTAACATTTCCACCCTTTAAAACACAGGAAAAACCACACAAAGGTGGGAAATGTTGGGAAAATTTGGATAAATCCTGTCTGAAAAGCATTACTTCTGTGTGCTTTTTCGCATTGTGAGATCAAATCCTGTCTTCCTTCTCAAAACCAAGCTGTCACTGTTTAAAATGGCATTCATTCCCCCACTCCTTTTTCTCACCTTTAGCTGTAAGCTACAGTAGACAGGCCATTTAGTCCAAATATACATTGTAAATAGTCATAGTTTACAAGGAAGTATCTTTTGATAGCCCAGAGGCTCCATGTGCCCTGGCCAATTCAGAATGTCTAGAGTAGATAAGAGTCTTGAGTTCATGCATAGTTTCAGTGGCTTGAATTTACATGTCTAAGCAGACCTGGAGATGGGTTCAAACTAATGAACTAAAGTGTCAATACAGGCAATTAGAAATGTTGTAATCTCATTGTTACTGTATGATTGACTGACATTTCTTTATCTGTTCTGTATGTGATGACCTCAGAATCTTATTGTAATGTCTACATTCTGTCATCAATTGCCCTGTACCTGTATGTGACTGGGAGTGTATAAAAACTCTCTAGTTGTGTTGAAGCTTTGCAGCAGAGTTCATCTCTGCCTGCCCGGTAATGCATGCATTATCGTGAGTACCGCGGGAACCTTGGGGTAAAACAATAAAGCCTCAGATGGTCTGGACGCTTGGTCTTTCCCACGAACCCGAGTTTTATTCCCTTTTCTCAAATTGAGATTCCGGGATTCTGACAGAAATCACAGGGGAAAAGGGATGGGACCAGGAGGAATATCTGTCTGGGGAAACCTGGAAAGCCACATTTACTCCATGGAGGCCGGTGCTTCAACACCTCTACCCAGTGTTTTTTTTTGGTAAAAAAAAAAAAAAAAAAAACCTGCTGGAACTCACATCTTGGGGTCACACTTTTACACTAAAAGATTTTTAGTGTAAAGCCAGTCACTCTACACACACATAAAGCCAGTCACTCTACACATATATAAACATAATGGTTGCCACGGGAAGTAAGCACTCACTATCAGCACAGACACAAAAGCAGCCCTCAGGCACTATGTTAATGATGTTTGCTGCTGATCTGCTATGCCTGACAGGCGACTCAAAATTACTTCTTAAAATCTATTGGAAAAAAAGGTGCCGGAACGCCATTCCGATGTGTTCTATGACAAATAAAGTCCTGCCTCTACCATAATCCAAGCCCAACTCATTTCCCCGCAAAAACACCTGAAGTTGTACCTCAGGCAGAGTGGCATCTTTATATGGGAGGGACACAGGTACTTTTTCTCCCACAGCTCAAAACTGGCTGCACACAGTACAGAGTGGATTTCAGAGATGCAGCTTGGCTTCCATGTTCATGCTAACCCAAAAGCTTTGGTGGCTTGGAGAAAATTCCCAACTGAAATCTAGCAATTCTCCCCTGCTACTTAGAGTTCCCTACCTTTTCCCTGAAGTTCTTGTCTTCTGCTGCTGTAGCAGACAAAACTGATACCACAGCATCATAGGTCTGCTTTTTATTTTCAGTCAGGAGGAGGAGAGCCAGCGATTTCAGCACTTCTTGCTGAGGTGGGAGGCTGATGGTGGTTAAGTCAATCTTATTCTGCAAGACCTTTTCATCTCTCAGGGACTGTAGAGTCTGCACTATCAAAGCTAAAATGGCAAAGGCATTTCAACAATACATGAGCTAAAATATTTTCAGTTATTTAAAATATTAGGCTGTAATCCTGTACTGACTTCCCTGGGATACAGTTTCATTGAACTCAGTGGGGATAACTTTTGAATAGATACACGAGGAATTGCACAAACTATAAGATTTGTGCCAGTGTGAGAGCCAGTGTGGTGTAGTGGTTAAGAGCATGGGACTGGGACTCAGACGATCTGGGTTCTAGTTCCTGCTCAGCAATGAAGCCACCTGGGTGACTTTGGGCCAGTCACAGACTCTCAGCCTAGCCTACCTCACAGGGTTGTTGTTGGGATAAGATGGAGGAGGAGAATGATGTAAGCTGCCTTGAGCCCTTTGTAGGAAAAAGGCAGGATATAAATTGATAAATAAATAAGATTACACATTAGCAAAATAAATCTGATAACACAACTGAGGATGGAATCAAAAATACTAGTTGGCCACAGCAAAAGGGGTGTGTATGTGAAAGGCGATTACTTTTTTCCTTTCTGGATATCAGTGTATCCCCCGCACCTTCCCATCAACTTCACAGGTGGAAAATTACTTCTAGCAGACAGAGGCTTGCATAGAATATCTTACATCCTCACAGGGAAATGACTGGCTTTGGATCCAGTGGATCCAAACCTTCCCACTTGGTGTTCCCAGAATGCATTGTTTCAAGGTGTTTTGTTGGCTGCCACCATTGGGAATACTGCAAGCCATAGCTTTAATACTCTTGAGCTATCCATGAGTTTAACAGGAATAGTGGCAAACATTAGCAGGGCTCCTCTTTTCAGAAAGAAAAGGATCTTGCTAGCATCTGAAGTTTCTTTAACCATCACACCTATGGTTAGCAACTAAATTCATGGTTATCTTACTTTCTTCAATCACATGGATTGTTTTAGTTTTTAATTTGTGTTGCCTTTCAGTGCGGAGTCACCACAGGGGCATTTATAAAATTAAAAGCAGTTGCAAAAACAAAAACAACAATAAAGTACAAAGTAAGGGCAGGATCCAATATGAGATGAGTTCTGCAATGATATTGCAGAAATGTAAGAGAGTTTTAGTGCATCAGCAATTGAATTAGCTGGCATTGTGGGATTCTCCAAGAAATCCATTGCCCCAGCTAACCTTACTAGCATTTTGCTAGTGGTTCCTTAACAGTGTAATTTATATTAGTGATTGTGTCATACTGGATGCTGTCCCAGATGCTTTGCTAGCATCTTTGATACAGACCCCTTGTTTGCTTATTGTTTCTGCTTGTGGAGTGCTATACAGTTAGATAAGAGATGTGTGTGTGTGTCAGATGTGAGTGAATGAGGGTGTAATTCTATGCAGGTATAAAGGGAGAGACCCTACAATTCCTAGTATGCCCCAGCTTAGTCTAGCCAGGACATGCTAGGAATTGTAAGGCTTTTCTCTGTCTAAACATGCATAGAATTGCACCATTAGTGTGTGACAGAAACCCTCTGTGAGCTCAGCAATTTGGCCTTCAGATTGTTCCCAGCAATATGAACTATAGGTGTGATTCACATGTATATAACTCTAAAACCAGGTTCTTTTCACCTCTGCTTTCAAAAGGTATCAGTAATTGCCCTAAAAACCAAGTTATTTTCTTTACCTTCTCTTGCAAGCTGAAGCAAATAATTTGCCAGATCACTAACATTTTTACTGGCAAAGTAGTTGTAATACTGAAAAACTGTGATGACTTCTGATGACAGGCTAGAAACCAGGACAGGCTCCACTCGGTCCAAGATGTGGGACACCAAGGTTTTGAATACTATGTATGACAAGAGAAAATAACTAATTAGCCATTAAAAAGAGCAAAATAAAATCTGGTCATTTAACATGTTCACTCCCATTGCTATAGCTTTTAGAAAGGAGAAAGTGCCCTGAAACATAAGTAAACATAGGATCTAGTGCTTTGGTAGGTTATACCCATAAACATCAAGGCTGCATGAGCTAAAAGCTTGAGATTCTTGTCTGAAGGAAAGGAGGCACTTGCTCTTCTGGACTGGCCCAAAACAGCAGGCAGGGACACAGAGGAGCCAGTGTCCCAGCCTCCCACTTGGAGCCAACACGGAAGATGAGCAAGCTCCAACTAAAGGCCTGAAGCCAGTTCCCTTCACCCTTGCCCATTCTTGACTAGGGCCAGTGGCTTGCCCACCAGTGGCTTGCCTCTGTTTACTGTTGACAAAATTATTGTGTATTGCTGTTGTGATTATTGTGTATTTTAACCTTGTGAACCATCAAGAGAACTTTTTTTGGCTAAGGGAAGATACAGAAATTAAATTAAATAAATGAAATTGCACCGTTTGCACACAGTGGGGGGGGGGGTGATAGGAAGGGAATCGCCCGGGAGCCACACAAGCAGACCAAGTTGACTCCTCCTGTTTCACCCGGCAGAGGAGCTGCTCAGGTGAGCAGTGCCTCCAGTGGGAAAAAGGGACAGGATGGGCTGCCTCTGATTGGTCTGGAAAGGCCAGGGGGTGGCTTGTACCCCCACATTTGCCTGGGGGAGGTACCACTCAGCTGACCAGCCCCTCTGTGGGGACAGAGGGACAAATGAAGGACTGACCTTCCTGCTTTGCTCCCTTCAGGGCACCCTGGGATGCGGGCAGGCAGATGAAGGGGGCAGCAGCACTGTACCATGGCATAGGAAGGAGGGGTGGGGCACCCATTTCCACCAGCACTGGTGACCCAGCAAACATCTGCACGCAACCCAAGGTGATGAATTGTGGGCTATATTCTGACCAGTGGCAATTCTGAACTGAACAAACATACCAGTATCTAAAAACCTGCACAAATCAGCACCCACATAAACCTTTCAACTGCAGGTGCATCTTACTCTGGTTGTTTCAGTTCAGGAGCATATCACTAAATATTTCAATGTGAAAATATCAACAAACTTATTTGAAATTATTTGATGTAACTGTTGAGAACCATGATTTTTGCTGCAGAGATTCTTGCAGACATAAGTCAAACAGAACACACAGGGAAGGTTTGTGCTGCATTTGGGGTTCTGCACCTGTTTCTGCAAGTCCTGGATACTCATTGTTCACAGCTGCAACAAACATAGCATCCAACTGTTTCATCATCTTGTCTGCAGAGGTGTGATATAGCACAGAAGAATTGGTACATTTGTTCCAGAAGGAAAGTAGGGAGATTTTTTTCTGAAAGTCTGGAATAGCTGGTGGGAAAGAAAAGTGTGGAAAAGATCATTGCTATTTTGAATACTGGGCAGAAAGATGAGAGACAGATATATCTAATCACAACTGAGCAATATTTGCAAAAGCAAAGAAGATACTTAGTGGAGGAGTCCCAAACCCTATCCCACAAGATCTTTTTGCAAAGGTGCACCATGCCCTTTGAGCAACCAAAGGACTCTGAGCATGTGCAGTTTTTCAAGTTCAACCCATTTGAATCATAGCTCCATCATGACTAAAGGAATAAAATGAAAGTTTGCTTTTGCTGCCTTTATGCTTATTACATTTCTTTGGGGATAAGTATTATTTTGTTACAGAAAAGTGTTTATGTATTTGAAGTAAAAATAAGAAAGTGTGCATTTGGAACCAGCTGGGACCTGACAATATTGGAAAGAGAGGAGATAGGAAGTTGTGGTAAGCAACACAGGCCTCATGAGCCTTCACACTGTTTCTTTCAGCCAAGCCTCCACATGATTGTAGTCTTATAAACTGATCCCATGCATGTTTACATGGACATATGTCCCACTGTCCCATGGAGCTTACTGCATAGTACAGGTGTTCATGCTTTCAGCTTTAGGGAGTAAAGTCCCACTGAACCCAGCAAGACTTACATGTGAGATCACATTGCACATCATGCTTATGAATAATTAAATCTATATAACTCCACACAGGAACAAACATTGCTATTTCTTACCTTCACTGACAGGTCTGAAGTTCCCCATATTATCATTGCTAATCTCTGTAAGACTCTCAATCACTCCAGTTTGTTGAGATAGTTTATCTAGGAGGTATCTTGTTACAAATGGAGTTTTGCTGGAGAAGAGAATTTGCTAGTAAAACAAACAAGGAAAAGAAACATCATATATTAGGTGCAATAAGATTATTTGAATAAACATTTCTGCTGCAATGCATTACATGGAGAATATGATTTTGGGAAGTTAGAGTTGTATTTTGTAACACAAGCAGAACATACCACAGACTTTTGCAGTATGGAGTTTTCCAGTTCAAAGTTCTAGCCAGTCAGTCATTCTCACCCATTTCAAGAATAACATGACTGCTCACCCATATATAAAACCCACTGAGCTTAATAAGGCTTACTTCCAAGTAAGATTGCAGCCATATGCCACAATGCTGTCTGTCTGTCTGTCTATATTTGGAAGTAATTACCACTGATTTCAATAAAACTTCTTTACTAAATATGCAAGATTATAACCTGAGGGCTCCATTCTACATGATTTGACAGGGAAAAAAAATCCTCAACATGATGGGAGTTGTAGGATTTTTTTTTCTTCTGTCTAAACATGCACAGGATTATATCCTGAATCACAAAAGCTAGTCATTTGTTCTCCTTGGCTTTTAATTTAAGCATTTTATGATAATCACTGCTGGTGGATGTTTTGAAAAAGTATTTTATTATGATTGGTTTTATTTAAATAATAAGATTTAAATTGAGCATAGGATTTATCAATACGTTTGTTGAATTGTGTTTCAAGACTACAGCCATGCAGTTGTTTCAATAAATCAATAGTCAACTGGATTTATGCATGAGCAACTTCCTCTGGAAGCCTGCTGCTTCTCCAAACATGTACACTCGTCAGCCTCTCCAGGGCAGCAGGGACCCTGCCTTTGTCTCTTATTATTCCTGCACTGATCTTTGTGCGTGAGAAGTGCCACTAAGCAGAGGACAAGAAACAGCAAGAAAGGCGCAAGAAGCTGCGTGCAAGACAGAGGAGTACCTGGATAAGCTGCGTGCAAGACTGCAAGTGCTTCACTATGGTGATGTCGAGGCTTTCATTCCCTGTTGTCAAGGGAAGAGGGCTTCCGGCTACACTGGTACCAACGCCTGTGTCTTCTGTTAGTGCTTCGCTGAGATGCCCTCTGGCTTCTGGGTGTTCTGACCTGTAACTGTTCATGCTGGGAGGTAAGTGAGCGATTTGATTTTATTTTTTATACAGGCTCAACAGGACTAACGCCACGCAAAAAGGAATTGTTGAAAGCACCAGTCTGTGACCAAACAGCCCCTGGTAGGCCAGAAACCTTTCAATGAATACATCATACCTCAAACTGACAGTACCGTAAGGTAGCGAATGCCAAGTAAGTGTCCACATTTAAAGGATATATTGCTTCCACAGTGGATTGCTTGTTTCTCTGAAACAATTGCCCTTTTGTAAGGAGCTCTTGCAACAAAGTTTTTGAAATCAGCCTTCATTAGATGTGGTTCTCTTTAAGTTGCGCATGCATGAGTGCATGCGTGCATGCACGTGCACACACACACACACACAACCACCATAGTCTGCTGATATGGACAAGACATTTCACCGCTCTGTTCTGTGCTTTATTTAACTGAATTTTAACTTTGTGGTTTCAAAAGTTGTATAGTTAAGACTTAATCTGTCCACACTTTAGTGGTGCAGGATTAAATGTCATCTAAGGAAGGCAAAAAAAATGGAATGCAGTTGGAACAGAGGACATGGTGCTTTTATCTGGTGGTTCAGGCACAGGCTTTCTCTTTCTTTTATATGCTGAATAATGCAAATTGCCCTGTTTAAATAATTATTTCTTACTTTCATTATTCCAGCATTTTTTTCAGTGAAATGTGGACAATTTGAGAAGTGGAGGCTAAGGGAATCCACCAGTGTAGAATGTAATTGCATGGGCAGTTCAAATTAGCATCAGGGATATTATTAGACTTTCAGGATCTTCATCAGAACAAAATGAAGAACAAGATCAAGTTGCTTATGAGCCATGAGCTAAGGCCTTTGTGCAGGCTTGATGCTGCATTGACCAGAACAGATGAATTGTTGCAGAATGTTGCAGATCACACCTAAAACAGCCATTTTAGAAACAGTCCTCTCTTTGGATGCAAATTAGATAAAGATAGAGGGACAGTCAGGTGAGAACATGGTGCTAATCTTTTGCATTTGATGGTACCTTTATGATATGAAAGCACCAAAAGAGAAAAGGAACATAGGACGCTGGCTTATATTGGGTCCATCTAGCCCAGTACCATCACCATTGAATGGCTACAAGGATTCAAGCAAGAATTTTCCTGCTCTCCGTGGAGATGGTGGGGATCAAATCTGAGGCCTTCAACACACCAAGCATGTGTCCAGCCACTGCACTGCGGCTGCTGGTAAATATGACCAGTCAGGATATTCCCCTCAGTACTGATCCCTTCTGCATTGCTGTGCTTTCGCAAGGCTCCCCAACCCTCATGGCTAGCTGTGACACAGGATGAATACACGGGATTGCTTTCTTAGGGTGATCTTCTCTTCACATGGGGAACACCAGCACAGAACGGCTTTCCTTCCTTTCTCCAAAATGAGAGAAAGGGATGTCTTTTTCTACAGACAAAAATGAAAGAAAGGCTGCTTCCATTCTGCCAGGGATATCGGTTGTTTATTTCTATGTTTTATCCATACTGGTGACAGTAGGTGGGAAAGAATCAATTTTTGATTTTTTTTAAAATATTAATTGATCCTTAAGATTTTTTTAAAAAAATCATAGAGCATTTATTCATTTCAATATGTCAATCCATTATTGCCCATTAAATGTCAAAACACAAATACATGTTTCATTAATGTTTTTAAAGCCAGACAGGTGTTTTACTGCTAATTAAAAGAATTTAATAAACAGTACACAACCCACAATACATGAAGTTTATAGTGACTATATGCTGGATTATGAGAGAACTGCCTGTTAAATACGGCACTCCCCCATGTCAATCCACACTGCTTTAGAAAGACAGTAGAAAAGTGTCAAGGGCTTTTGTTGATATTGCACCCCTGTTTCATCCTTAAAACAAAACAAAACATGGCACTTCCTGTGATAACAAAAGAGATAAAAAATGGGAAACATAGGAGGATCAGAAATGGATGGTATCAGATGGACCCTCCCATAAAATGAGAATGGACATGGATTCAAGTCTACTCTAAATGGCTGGTGTGGAACCCTAACCCTACAACAGAAGGCCAGAAATCAAAAGAGCCTCTCTTTCTATAAAGTTTTGACAGGGTTGAGCAGCATTGCAGGTGGAAAGCTTAGAATGGATAAGGCCCAGACCAAAGTATCAGCCCTCATTGCAAGGCACCTTTCCCCAACATGATGGCTTCCAGATGCTTTTAGTCTTCCTAGCTTTCCTAACTCTTGCCCATGTTAGCCGGGGCTGATGTAAGTTGGTCCAAGGCCTCTGGAAAAGCCCATTTGCTGGGCTGCAGAAGCAGCCAATACGAGTACAGCACCTTCCTGCTCCACTTTTCTTGTCCACTCATCTTCCTGGTTTGATTGTTGCACAGCTACACCAAGGTCTTTCTGATTACTCATGGCAGGAAAAGGAAATAGGCAGATGGGGCAGCAGTTGTATTCTTTCAAGCTGTTCCAGGTGGCACTTAAAGCGAACAGTTTGCCCACTTGTGCCTGGTGTGACCTGTCAATCAGCTGCTTAGATTTCTTGTAAAATTAATAAATTTTAGCAAAATGATAAACCACACATTAGTAGCAGTACTGTGAATCTAAATTCCCAATGCTCTAGGTAGGAAATCGCCATCAGTCATCCCCCTGACCATCTTTAGTTTCATCTTATGCAAATAATGAGCGTGTATCAAGATCTTGGGTTGAAAGGATAGGTGCAGAAGCTTGGCATAGGTAAGAAGCACACAAATGGAAATCTTTACCTGTTTTTCTCCACCTCAGTATCAGAGAACACAGAGTCTGCACCTCGGCCACCACTGCAAAGCTCGTCTGTACCAGCATCATCCTCAAAGTCAGAGGTGTTGAGGAAATCGAAGCTCTCCAATGCACTCTCAACCGTGAGGCTTAAACTGGATGATCTGCTGTGATTTACTGCTGGTCTGCACTGCAGTAGCAAAGGCAAAAGAAGGATGAGAGCCGAGAATGGGTTCTTGGTATACACTTCTTTGGTTAATGCTTTCGCGTTCAACCTAATTAAACTGGCTTTAAACTGCAATCTAATTTTGCATTTCCATGGAATGAATTTGCTGCATTTGCCACAATTATGCATTTCCCCTCAGTTTTTAGGATTTCACTTTTTATGCGATGAGAGACCTCAGTGTGACTTAAGTAACATTATTTGGATGATGACACAGCAATCAGGCAGACATTTCCACTGATGACAGGAAATAATGCTCTAATCAAGGAAGAAGCAGCTATGATGCAAAGGCATGTGTCAGAGAGTCAGCAGGACTGATGTTTCCAACACAGGTGCTAATGCAGATCAAACAAAGCAGAGAAAACACTGGCATACAGCTGGACCTGTTTGGCTCACACCAGGTTGACTGCAAAATTCCAGCTAGTGCATAGTGATAATGTCAGGTGAGATGATATTGCTGAGAAACCATCAGCAGAGGGACCAGGGCTCCCATATTAGGTTCCCTTTTATTTGGTTTTCTTCATATTCCCATCTAAGTCTTCCTTGATTGGTAGGCAAGAGGCTAGGTACACTTAACTCCCTTAAAGAGGAAATCTTTAGGGCAGGGTCAGAGAACCTCTTCCAAATCTGAAAGGATCACATTTTTGCCAGGGTATTTTAGCTTTAAGCTCTTATTGGCAGTAACTTAAGGCTTAAGAATATAATTTCAGCTTCTTATAACTGGGGTAACATGCAGAAGCTGGAAAATCATCATATGACTGGAGCCACAGGATAGGGCTGTGTTTGGCACATAAACCTGAGTTTTTCCATCACTGCCTTTGAGGAACAGTAGGATTTGAAGATGAAATAATGTCTGAAAGAACAGCCAAGAGCATCTTAGTGCTTGCATCAACTATGGCTCAGTTTCCCATTTTGTAGTGTCTTTGATTTGGGCTTTCGCCATGATCTGACCCTTCTTAATCTTGAATGGTGTTTCAGAATTCTGTATCAGAATGTGCATTCTGCAGTGTAACCATAAGTCACTTTGAACAACTGAGGTGTGGATCTAATAAGAGTACAGCTGTGGCACACTTTATAATTAATGATCTTGAATATGTCCATTTAAATTTCTTATCTCAAACTGAACTTACCTTTAAAATTTCATCCAGGCATATTATTTTTTGGTCCAAATCCTGAAATTCTTTATACTGCTCTTTATGAGGCTCAAGTGCTAGAATGAGCCCTTGCAATGCTTCTTCTAGACTTCCATCAACACAGGATTTATAACCTTCAGATTCACTGCTTATGGACCCCTCACAGTACAGCTTTTCAGGTGTCATCGGACCTTCTCCTGAAGTGAGTCTTTTAACCAGCTGCTTAGTGATGTTGCCTTCAAAAGTATCCAATTCCACTGGTTTGAGCTCTGATAATTCATCCGTATCCTGAAGGAGTGATACCGGGGCACTATTATCTAAGAACACACTGTTGCTTCTGAGACATGGAGACTTTTGGCAAACTTCTGAATCGACACTTGAAGTCTTCTTCTCATCACTGACTAGCACAAGCTCTGGAGATTTTAAGTCTGAGGATTCAGGTGTAGAGTCCACAGGTGAGCTTGCACTGATATTGTCGACATTCAGAGTTTTTGGTAACTTTTGTCCCTCATATTCTGGGGGTGTGACAGTAATTTCAGGATTAGAACGATCTATGGCAGAGGAGGAACCTATTGAACTCGATGACATTGTGCAGTATCCGTTGGGGATATCAGTGAAACTGAAAGATAAGGACCTTTTCTCATTGCCCGTTGTCCCATTTTCAAAGACATCATCTGGAGAATTTGACTGCAAACATAATACAAACTGTTAAAGCCAGAAAGCAGAGAAATAGTACAAAAAATTAATTTTAAGCAGCTGAAAGTGGAAAAAAGGAAGAAAAAGTTTGTTGACTGCTATAATCCTAAACTAGTATTTGTGAACAAAATTTTACTTTTTATTATGATCATTAAAAAGAAAGAGGAAGATACTAAAAGATTGATCAAAAACTACAACAAACAGGAAAGAATCAGTCCATAACATGTATAAGAAAGTTCTAAAGCAATCTGGAACTGAAGTTCTGTGAAAGGTACCGCAAATTCACATAAATACCATGCACAATACACAGCAACCAGAAATCTTGTATTTTGCTGACCAGATTTTATCTATTAGAAAATAATGGTATGGAATAAAGTGTATACTAGGGAATAACCTTTTTGGTGTTACCACATATTGACAGATACAAGATTATGGTGCTGAAGTTTATCTTGTTCTAATTGGTAAGCATCTTTGACATGTTTTTAAAAGGTGCAAATAAAATGTCACAAACAACAGCCTTAAATCCCACAGAAATCAGTGGAGCTTAAATGTAAAGTTTAACATATAGACTGCTCTGATTTATTTTATTTATATCCTGCCTCTTACCCAACTCATTTGCATTTAAACTACTATCCAAGATATAGATTGCCTGAATCTTGTTTATAAGATATCAGCCCATAAAAATTAGTATTTATAAAACTTCTTCAAAATATTCATGTTTTCTCTTGGCCTCTTGTTTAAAAAGAGGCTGCAAAATGGAAGTCAATGGGTATTTTGTGACTGACATCGGTAACTCCAGACTGAGCCTATAACAGTTTTCTCAACACATGGTCAGCAAACTATACATATCTCAAGGAGAAGTATGAGATTCAGGACATGCATAAAAAAGAAGAACTGCTTAAATATGTGGTGAGTTCATTTGTGACAAAGAAATCCCACCACCCAAACTCACATAGCGTTCTAGCCCTGTTCTAGGCCTCAGTCTGAGAGATGGCAGATCACTAAATGAGCGACTACGGCGCAGTTTGTCAAAGAAAGTGTCCTGCAGAGCATCTACAATGGAAAACTGGAGCCTGTCTTGCGGAGGATGCCACCATTTCTTCAACAAGTGAAGGCAAAAAGGGGATAATTAGTCAATCAGATCACCTTTGATATTGGAGTACAATATAGAAATCAAGAGGTTGTTTTGCCATTAGAACTCTTGAGAAGCAGAGCAGGCTGAAGGTCCTGAAGGCTGAGGAAACACATCAGCCTCAAGAGATCTGTTACTGGGAAAAAGGGAATAGCAGATCCCACTTCTAAAAACAGTAGGTTGGATCCAGATTTGCTGTTCCCTGTGCTCTTTTCACTCACAGAAGGCACTGGGATCCAGCTCTTGCAGGAGCAAGTGGGCAAGGAAGCCATTTTTGACAGCTGGACCTTTCCCCTGCAGCTGCCAAGTTTCATCTCATGTTGGTCTGGAGGGTCTCCAGTGCTCCAGAGCAACTTGGCAGGCAGCACGGAAACTTGCAATGGGAAAAGGATTCTCTGGAGGCTCTCCCTTTCTACAGCATGAGCAGAACTCTGCTAAATGTTATTCTGAGTCTATCCAAACTCGCTCAATTAATTCATAATTAATCAAGTATCAATATCCTGCTTTTCTGCTCCAAGATGGTATTCAAGGTGACAATAAAACACAATTTAAAAGCAAAATCTGAATGAAAACATAAACCCAGTGAAATTGAAAACACAGCAATAAAAAACATAAGCAACCTTAACCAATTCAACCGCCTTTCAGGAACAGACAAACTGATATGAATAAGACATACTAAAAACATCTTTGCCTGCTGGCAGAAGGAAAATAGAGAGGGGACCAATGTAGTCTTCCTCAGCAGAGAGGTTGGAACCCTGGGAACAGCCACCAAGACCACCCTCCCTCTGGTGGAGCACTGTTGACAGCAGGGCCTCCACCCTTCTGTCTCCATCTTAAAAGCCAGGCAGGCTCATATGGGAACTTTAAATTTGCCCTAAGATTTAAATAATCCAGTATATGTTCACAACTCGAGCACATTTAATGCCAATGCATCTCACTCTCCCCTATCCCCAAAACAGACATATGCCTCCCACATTTTAATTAAAATTGACTCTGCATAAACTGCTGCACTGCGGATTTTGATACAGTCAGATTTATCAACAAAGCAGTAGATGGTCGCTAAAATTAAATGCCTTTGCATATTAAAAATTCAAGGTGAAATGTGGAAATATATTTCAGCAACTCAGACAATGCTAGGGATCAATTAATATTCACTTTCATAGTTAAAAGGGCAAAGGAAAAGACATTTTAATCCCAATGCTTAGAACACACACTCTAGTAAGTTTGTTTCACTAAGAAGCTTAGGGAGGCCTCAGCTTTGTATCAGGGCAATTTCAAAATGCTGTGACCCTAAGTATGGACGCTGCCTGTTGTTTAAACATTCCCCATTTAGTAAATATTAGGGAGGCTTTTAACTTACAAAGAATGAGTGGTCCTTAAAGGTTGGTGTTTCTGGAGTGCCTTGACTATACATGGACATCCTTCTTTGGAGAGCAGAAGCTTTGTTTGTGCTGCCTGCAGATGAGGCCATGTCCTCGACTTCGAACGGACTGCAAAAAAGTACGCCTCTCATTAGAGTGAATTACTGTTAGAAGGAACATTCGTTTTCTTTTCATTTTTAGGTCATCTGAGCAGGGACCATCCAGCCTCCTCCTAGTGAGGCACTGTAAACACTCAAGACAACACTCTTGAACTCTGCATTAATTAATTTGGAAAGCATACAATACACTAGTTCAACACATGAACCCATGGATGGACAAAGTGTACATTTCAGTTGCCATGAAGATACCAAAGAGAATGGCCTCTGCATAGCAACTGATCACTACTGAGCGGAGCTGGAGCCTTTGCGACATTTCTGGAAGCCACCAGCACACAGTAGAAAGGAACAGAAATGCATTAGTGGCCAATTTCCATGCCCTCGGTGCTTCTTAATGTTAAAGAAAAAGTGATAATCAGTTGTCAGAAGGATTTTTGCAGCACCGGCTTGATGAGTGTCATGTGCGTTCTAGCCCTAATGTAGATGAGAAGCCTTCAGTAAAAGGGCTGAAATCTACCCTTTGACCCATTTCTGACCATCATGTATTGATGGTGTTGACATGCAATGATAGGCTGATAACAACAACGTGTTATTCTCTGAACAAAGAAGTCCTGGACAGAAAATCATAGACAGTACAAAGACAGCTCTTACTTCAGAAGGTACCTTATTTTTGACTGTTTTCCGTCCCGCTGCCATGTAAAAACTGGTGCTTTAGAAACAAGGATAAATTCTTTTTCTCCTCCCACTTGTTTAGAGACTGTATATGATTCATTTGTAAATACCGGAAGACCAGATTTTGAGGATGCCCCTGGTCTGGACCACAGTTCACAAGGAAGGTACAATCTCTCTGTTTGCTGTCTACTATAATTGCTATTACATCGGTACCAGATTTCAGTGGATGCAGATTTTATTAAAAATACTGTTAAACTGTACAGTTTTGTGCTGTACTACTATTCTTATTTAGAATAGCAGGGAAGCCAAAGGCCATGGGTACATGCCCACTTGATTTGAAATAATATTGACACTCTGCAAAGATAGCTTTACTCACTGCCAAGTGATCTCCAGATTCAACTTTATTGTTCCAAGGTCATTGATGTCCACAGCAACAATCTGAGGCTGAGCAGCAAACAAGTCTTTTGTTTCACAGGTAACACTTCCCACCAGAATGTGAGTAGCAAGGCCTTTAACTTCTGTGACCTTCAAAAGAAACAAGAGAGAGCAACTATCTATTAACAGTTCGTTGGCTCAGTAGCATTGTTCACAGCCAACTATTCCACATTTCCCTACAGTATCCTTGCTGCATGATATCACTCTAGTCTGAAAAGGCGGAAAAATAATATTTGAATGTTATACTCTTATGCAGTTATACAAAAAGGACATTTTTCTTGTCTATATAGTTCTGTTTCGTGTCAAGAGGCCATCTCGATTAAGACACTGCTCAAACAAAAGGCTGTTTTTTGTGAGCAGCATCTTTTCAGCTCCCAACATCATGTTTTAAGGATCCCCCCATTCCCTTTGCTCCCACACCAGGCACAGGGAAAGTTTTACCACTACCCCCTTCTCCATGGATTGGAAATCCAGAGCAAGCAGCACTTCTGTGGTTTGGACATCAAATATGGCCCTGCTTGTGTGTGTGTGTGTCTATAGTTCTCTGAATGCGTTGAAGTCTCTGCATTTGTATCCTTTAGTATAGAAAGAGAGGCCAGTTCACCATAGCCTCAAGAGGTGATTTGCATGTATAAACAGACTATTGCCACTTAAACATCATTTGATGCAAGATGACATTAAACTTCTATTTATTTATTCACAGCATTTGTATACTGCTCTATACCTTGAAAGATTCTGGAGTGATGAACAAGTAAAAGATAAAACAGATAAAATGGAGTAGGGCTCCAAAATGCTGCTGAATAATCTAATAACTTGATTACTAGATTCCTGACTTTTATGCAATTCATGTATTAATTGCAGGACTCTTGCAGAATGCACACACAACAATGACAAGTCCTGATACATTCAATTGAAGACTGGCATTCTGCTCATCGCTTGTAGGTCTGCAGTGTAGTTTTGGTTAGCAGATGTGTGGACAGAACATGATTTCACTGATACCTTAATGGAGATCAGTCCAACAATAAGAGGAAGGAAGATCATTTCTTCTCCATCCCAGCTTTGTTTGCCATTGACTTCTATTTTGCCTTTCAGTTTCCATCTCTGACGGCCATACCGCATAAAAATCTGTGAAAGAGAAACATCTTGTACCCTTGCCTCCCACATGCTTGTCCTGCCTTTCTTTCGCATTCATTCTGCCTCTCTGAGCAAATTATGAAGGGAAGGCCTTGGATCCCAGCAGGACTCATGGACAGGCGCAAATGCTGTGATTCATGCACACGAGCTCCTACAAATGCGAACACAGCATTGCTAGGATTCTCCCCAGTTGACCTCTTCTTAGAAGTAATGCAAACCACAACCCTAAAGGTCTTTTAGAGAACAAGGGGGATAGATTTATAACGCATCTCCCCAGAATGTGAAAAGGAGCAGAAAGCTCTTGTTTTGTTTAGTGATACTATGGTCATTTGCAGAGCTTGAATGTCAATTGTTTCAGGCAGCATCACCACACACGACATGAATACAGACCAGGGAGGCCAGGCCAGAGACAGTGAAGCTGTTGTAGAATTCAGCCCACTTGTTGATGAGGTTACATTTCTGTCTTGGGGGGTGGGGAACAGGCCAGGGAGGAGGGAGAGACGCTGACTCGCACTGTTCTAACTGATCTGCTCTAGTCAGCCTGTCCTGGCTGGATTCAGGAGCCACAAAAGGGAGAAAACCTATGCCAAGAACAAAATATTGAAAGACCTGCTGACACCCTTCCAAAACAAAGCTAAAGAAAGATCCGTTATCTTGCTAGCCATCAATCAGCTCTCTGGGACCAATCTCATAGTCTTTACGTGGGAAAGGCTCAGAGTGCATTCATCCATAAATAGAGAACAGTGGGATCTTTCTTGCTCTACAGGATATGAGAACAGTGTGAAATACAGTGGAGAACCCTTTGAACGTGATGGTAAATGACATTTTTACAAAGCTACTCACCTCATATTGGTCTCCAGGGCAAAGTCGAGCAAAGCCAGCCAGACCTAGAAGCCAACAACATTTGAGACCCATTTCAGACGCAGTGTTTATGCCTCCTCTTTCTTCATCAGTCACTGCATACTTGGAACCTGACCATTAGCACTCATCACTGCTGCCAAGGCACTTATGCACCAAGAAGGCAATTTCACAATCCTGCTTCATCCTTCCCTTACCAATTGAGAGGACACTGGCCACTGATCCAAAAGCCCCTCCAATGCGGCTTCTCTGAAGATGGAAGTAGCTGATCCCCAATTTAATGTACTTGTTACTAGGAATGATGGAAAGACTGTTTGGGTAGTCAGTGGATTAACTCACTTGGAATTCTGAAAGTCAATTGTAATCCTCTTGACCTGGCAGATTTGTCTGTTGACTTTTTACCAGGCCCCTAAAATCCCATTTAAAGGGCATCTTTTCAAGATAGATAAAGAAGCACCCTTCCACTCTTGCCCCTTTCAGTATCGAATACATTTGGCAGCACCCTTCTACAGTAAAAGAACCTGCTCTTTTCTCTTCTGCAACCACCTTTTTTATTTTCATGTCAAGTTTTGCCCAGATCAATCTGTTGAAATAAGCAATGTTATGCAGCTTTAGTGTGAGCAGAAAGAGCAACTGCCTTCCTCTTTAAGCTCCCTTAAAAAAAAAAAAAAAAAAAGCAGGCACATTAAATCCAACTAATAATAGGTGAAATACAGTACATGCTTTTCTATTAACTTTTTAAAACACTACGATGCTGAAATAGGCAGGATCAGCCAAGACTGTTTGGTCATGCAACACATGAGATGGATGGCACAGATGGTGGGATGCTGCTTCCAATTTTCCATTAGTGGTTGCCTGCTGCCTCACTTGAGGGGACTCTTCATGGAATTAAGCATGGTGCCAATGGATTCAGCAAATCATCACTGAATGTATGAAATACAAAGAGTAGGGCTGGATGCAGGACCCATGTTCCACTAAAGGTCAGGATCTTCTGTGAGAGAAAGGGCTCAATGGCAGATGATCCTTGTGTCTGATTTGGGTAATTCTCCCCACACATACATGCATGGCAGCTCACCCTATGCTCAGGGTCCCCAACTTTGCACAGAGTCAGAGAGTTTAAATTAAATTAATTAAATTAAATTAAATTTAAAATGGACGAACTGTCATTATGAGCCCCAGAAAATGGCCACAAATTGCTAGATACAGTCCCACTCACACACACAGAGTCTCCCTCCTGCTTATGGCTTATCATAATTAAAAGAATCGTAAGCCACTCGCACTGACAACATTGATGCTCGGGCACCTTGTAATCCAAGAGTGCTGCATCTAACTTCTGGCCTAGACGTTTTCTCCCCACAACCTTCAAAAACCTACTTTAATTATGTCATCTCCACACACACCAGTTGCTGATTATGGAATCAACAGTTTAGGTCTATGGGAGTGACCGTAACCCTGTTATATGGGAGAGGAAGTAAAGCCTGGAAGGGTTACTGTGAACCCTTCATACTTTCTGCCAATAGGTGGCAGCAGTCCCTCACAAGCTCTGTTGGCCAAGGGTTTTTAATTCATTAATTAAAAGGCTTTAGTAGTCTTCCTTTGAAATATAGGATCCCTTCTCCAAAAAACCCCACTCGGAAGTAACCTCATTAAATGCCTTTGGGAGAGTCTATGAAATTAAGAGATCAGCGCATGGATGGATGGCTCTTATTTGTATATTTCTTAACATTCATCCATCCAACCCTCCAAGGGAGATGCAGACATTCTTTTAGTCTTACAGTAAACCTTTAAATTAAGTTAACCTGAGAGAGAAGCCAGATTTGAATGTAATGGGAAACCATAGAAGCCAGTATGACATGGCTTCACACGATCACGGCAGCCTCATTTAAGCCCAAATTAGTCACAGCATCTATGGGTGTTGGGTTGCCTATTCTCACCCCAGCTTCCTCTGTTGCCTGAGTGTAGTGCAGGGACCACACAATTTGGCCCTGTTTTTTTCCCCTTTACAGGTGATTTTCAGTGGATAGCCTGGCAGCCATATACAAATTAGCCTGTAAACCATCTTGCCTATTTAACCTGTTACCTAATGCATTTCGTTGCTCCCTTTGGCAGCTGCAACAGACAGGGACATTGACCAGGAAAGATCACACATATCAGAAAGCTGTGTAGTGATAATAATATGACCTCAGGTGGTGCAACTTTCTGGGGCCAACCACCTCCAAACCCTATCTGTGCATTTTTTGAGGCCCTGAAAAGAAAAGGGATAGAGATCAGAAGCGGGAATGAAGGCAGGCTCTGCTCTGAAGGACACTGAGATACCGGCTGTGGGACTTGAGGGAACAGCAACATGGTGAGCCTGATTGTTTCTTAGGCGCACTGTGATTTGTCCATGAACAACCAACCTACCATGGCTTATTCCTTAATGTAACATCAGAATACAGCCATTCTATACAGGGGCCAACAGAAAATGATTAATGTTGCTACTGTAGCAAGTGTCAATGGAACTGCAGTGATACTGTTAAGAGAGAAACTGATGTGCAGTCATTTTGATTTGAAGAAATGACTGCAAGCACAGAACAATCTCCAAACGGCTCACCTGTCATGTCACTCCAGCAATACAAGCTCCATGGATATTGTGGTGTGATCTTGCACCCACACAGCAGTATAACAAAGACAGTTCTGCTCCATACTGTTTCTTCCACCTCAGATATTCTGGGTCAGATCTAGAAAGGGGGCTCAACTCTCCCATGTCCCTGTACAGTGAATTCACGGGAAGTGATTTCTATTCTTCTGTCACGTAAGATTTGTTTAAACAACTGTATCTTTGGTAAATGCCACGCTTGCACCAGTGGCTGGTCTAACGCATCTCGATACAGCGATGCTCAACAGCTTCCTTCTTTTTGCTATGAGGAACCCTTCCTTTGCCCAGGAACATATAAAACAGGGTTTCTCCTGTGTGCCCTCCTGCACTGCTTCAAGGATGAGAACAAAGCAGGGCTCTGCCAGGTTCGTATTACCTCCCACTTTCTAATTTATTTAGTATTCATAAATAATTCAAATATCCTAGCACTCCGCTGCTGGCACTATCTTTTTTTTGATGCCTTAATACGGCAACTTGATTTCTCCTGCCCATCCAGCTGTAAGCATATGAACCTCAAGCTGCACAAAAGTGGGAGCTAAATGAAGAGCTCTGCAGATTCCCAGATGGGCCGGGATGGATCCTGCATCAGAATGAAACAGCTCCAGTGCATAGTTTAGGCTACTGAAAGTCTTGTTTGCAAAGCTGATTTTGCTAAGCTTGGTGCTTTATATCAGCCCTTGCCATATATTGCTAGGAACCTGAAAAAAAAGACATTTAAGTATTTCTCTAGTTTGATCCTAAAACAATGATGAGAGATACGTGACACATATATGGTCTCCACCAGCCTCTAGGATAGAACCCACATTACTGAAATGTGCAGCGTGGGCAGCAGAACAATTGGGGGTTTGCTATGAAGGATTAAAAAAGACACACTTAGATTAAACATACTTCTGCGCCACTCACGCAGTAATTGGATGGGTGGGATCAGCGTTTTAATAAAATAAAGCTTAATACTGGAAAGGTGTATAATTGTAGGGATTGGACCCACTTCTCCTACAAAAGAGTCTTCAAACGTTATGGAGAAGTCGAGGAGTCTTGCTCAGTCAAGGAGACGCAGCCAGAATCCTCAGCTGAGAAGCCAAGGTCAAAAGACACAGGGATAAGTCATGAAGCAGCTACGAAATAGACAGTTTCAAATTCTGCGGGAAATTTTAGTGTGCATGTTACTGTGGAACAGCACAGACCTAACATCATTAATCCAAGATTGGGGTATTAGATTAAGAGGGCAGAGCAGCTGGGAAGCATTTGATGCTCCAAGCTACTGGGAGCACTGGGTGTTCCAAAGATGCACTTCTAAGGTATAGTTTCATTGGGTTTTTTTAGTGTGGAAAGGAGAAGAGGTATTCGGTTTAGAATCAACCTATTAAGTGGTATTTCCCTAACAGCCAGTATTGTAACTTCACTTGTTTCTTCTCTTATTGACTTCAGGAATACTTTTCTTTTGTACTACAAAGCAAGATAGCTACTCAGACAGTTACATACTCACTGATTTCTAATCAGATATGAACCATATCTCTTCCCTTCTAATCTTTTTTTAGAAAGTCAGGGACATAATTCAACATTCAAAATCTCTTGCAGTGACAGAGATTAAAACAAGAAAATCTATGGAAAAGATGCTCCCACACAGATAATTGCTCAGAAGAGGGACATGTGATGAAATTAATTAAGCCACATGTTCCTAAAGAAGAAGAAAGTCTTTGGTGGAAAATTTATTGGCAACGTTTGATATTTCAATAGGTGTGGTTCATGCCAATTGCTTTGGGTGTGAAGCAGAGATGGGTTTTGACGCTTCCATAATTATTTTGGTGGGAGAAAGAAAACAACCCTCTTAGGTAAATTGGATTGCACCCTCAGTGCTTTGAGAAACACACACACAATGAGGGAGGGAGGGAGGGAGGGGGAGAGGGGAGTGGGGGAAAGACAGAGAGAGAGAGATCTCACTAAGATGTTTGTGCAGAAAATGGATGCAGTAAAAACCATTTACCTTTCATCTTGATGCAGAATTCCCCCATTAAATTTTCCAGTTCTCCTTCAATAGTGCACATGTTCTAGGTGGGGAAGCAGAAGACTGATGAGATCAACCATCCAATGATCCAAGATCAATCATAAAATACATGATAACTATTTTAGTTAGAACTAGGGGTGTTTCCTGATGGAAGCGCTCCCAGCACTACCTATCAAAAGGCACTGCGGATCTATTTCATTTTCTGTGGAAAGAGATTGTACAGAAGAAGTAGCAGAAAATCATGGGAGGACTATACGCTGAAGGCAATGACATCTAGCGCCCCCACCCACTCCAAATTCTGGAAATAAGACAGAGTAGTTGCACAATAAAAACCTCCTCTGGAAGCATCCAGCAGCAGGCGGCCATGGCTCACTGCAGGTTTCCCGTGTGCATATGCCCAGTGAAATACACACAGATGCCATTTTCATAAAAGGCCGTTTATTGTAGAATTTGCATTTAATAGACGTATAGACCATTGCCCATTTTGAAACATCTGAGTTTTACTCCATAATTGAATATGGAAGTGCTTGCCATGCAAGCAAGTTTTGTAATAACTGAAGTAATTCAGTCTCTGCCCCTCCTCTCAGACAGGTACTCTTTTTCTAGAAGCATTTTTCAGCATTTCTGAGCTTGAGCTCAGACTGAATCCAGCTTCTATCCTCCAGCTGTTTCTCTACATAATTATAGTTATTTCCAAGGGGCAACCCACCTCTTCTGCCTCTATCCTACTCTAAAACTGTCCAACAAGAGCTCTTGAGCCTTCTTCAGTCCACAAAGCAGCACTTAAGCAATGTAACCCTTAAACATGTAGTTGAGATCACTGATACTTTCCCAGGTATATTATTAGTTTAACCTCCACACCAGAATTCCTGTGAAATTCTGTCTTAAATTGAAATTATTACAGAATCATGTTTTGTGTATGAAGAATCAGTTTTGGTATCTGTAGGTCAATCAAAGTTTACCTGAAGTGAATCAAATATTGTTCTCTGTGCTGGCAACAGCTGGCTTGAGCTGGAAGCAAATGCTCTGGGCAGCCAAATGCAAAAGGCTTTATCCTGAAGCCTGTATTATCAATGCCACGCGTTCTATCCTGTAAAAACCCTACATTCTCTTTTCCTCCTACAGGCACTTCCAGTTGATACTTTGTTTATGCAATGGTGCTGCCTCATTAATGGGATTTTAGGGGAGGTCCAGACAATTCCTTTCATTTCTAGCCTTCCTGTGTTATCCCACCGTTTGCATCTTTTTTCTTACCAGGAAAAAATCATGAAGGAAAAAAACGGAATAGCTGCACTGGGAGCCTTCTGTCCAGAAGCACCTTACAATGAGTCCATGTTCCCACCATAACTACTGACAAATTCAACCTGGAAAAGTCTGAGGAAAAAAAGATCTTGGTGTACCTCGGTATATTCTTTGTAGCTTTTGTTGATTTCTGACAAACTCTCCCGAGCTGCCTTGCTGACAGGGGAGGACCCAAACGCTTGCTTCATTTTGCTGGCACCATCACGGAGTCGTCTTTGGATACAATAAGCTTCAAAGAGCTCATCTACCTGATAGGACAAAAGAAAAATCAGAACAAACTGAAAGGAACTTTTTTCTCCCCTTTAGATTGATGGATAAGCAATTTCAGGGCCGGTGCTATGTCTTTATATTGAAAATGATTCGGTGTGGAACCAGCATCTTCTCTTTTCACTCTCAATCACAACTTCTATAATTTTTCAGAGTAGGAAAAAGATAGCAGTAACATGCCACTGGACTGTACTAAACAAGGAGCATAATCCAATTTCTAATTTAAGAATATATAGCCCTCATTTCCATTACAAAACCAATCCTCATAAAGGAGCTAAGAATCACATCTTAACACAACATACTGTTAAAATGAACACTAAAGTATAACATCCAAACTTTTAAAACTACTATGCCAACAACAAAAATAACAAAACAATTACAAAACAAGCAATGTGATATGCAATAAAAGCAAACACTGCCATGAGTTACCTAAAAGATTTTAGATTCTAACATTAACTGTGTTTCTATCATTCGACTGGAAAGCCAGTGTGAACAAGCTTGGCCTGCCTTGGTAGATGGAGCTTCCAAAGGCTGAGTGCCACTACTATAAACATCCTCCCGTTTCTAATAGGTACCAAGATAACGTCTAAGCAGGACCACCAAAGGTTAATCTAAGCATATATGATGCTTCATATGGGAGAAGGCACCCAGGAGGGATACCCAGATCATTCAGGGCTTGAAAGGTAAGAGACAGTATATTAAATTATGCCTGGAAGATAGCTGACAAAAACTGAGATTATAAAGCATCATCTAATGTGCTATGGACCAAAGTACTTCACAGACCTATGAAGGCAAAGGCACATCTGGCTCCAACCCACTGATGTAGCATTAAAAGAACAAGACATAGAAGCCTATGGACACCTTTGTAGCTAACTGTTTTGTTGTGTGGCTGTCTGTTATGGTATTCCATTGTCAATCTTCCTGTCTCCATTCCAAAGAGCTTTTAAAATATTGCCTTCTGCTTCTGAAAGCACAGGTGGAATGCAGCATTCTTTCCCCACCCTCTGTCTTCCTGAACAGTTACCACAAACTGATCTGTTCAATTACAGGGCTGTCATTACCTACCACATTTCCTGTTTGCTTTGCTTTGTTTCCTGTTCAGAACTTAATTTCAAGGTACAGCTGTCAGTAGAAGACCAGCATGCATCCGTCCTTATATCCATCAAAATGTTGCTACTTTCTATTAAAAAGTTGTCATGAGCAGCTGCTTGCATTTTGACCTTATAAAATCATGCTTCACATGAAGTTCCTTTTGTTTGTCACCATGGGTTACAGAACAGTTAATACACTGAACCATTTGAGTGTGGATTTAGCTCTACAGCAATTCACTCCTCTTTAAAACACTGAAATCACTCTGTTCTGTGTGGGTGAGATCTGAACAGTAAGTACCTGGCTGCATGAAATGTTGCTGGCAGGGAGTGTGTTATTTTGGAATCTGTTTCCTTGATGAATATTTATTCGGTGGGTAAGAGAATAATGCAAAAGTGGCTATATTCTGGATCCCTATGGCTTAAATGAAGCCGGACAGGCAATCTACACTGCCTGGTATTTACTGTTAAAGAAGAAAGGGATATGATGCACTTGGGGACACAACTAAGGAAGTAAAGGGGGATGACAGTTAGGAGAAGGGCCTTCTTCGTGTTTGCACCCGATCTCTGAAACATGCTCCCCAAGGAGGTGCACCTGGCCCAGCTTTTGTTCTCCTTCAGATAAATACCTTTTTATTTGCCAGATGTTTTAATAGCTAGATAGATTTTAATAGTGTTTCTACGCAGACTGTTTTATGCTGTGTATTAATTTTTAATCACCCGAGCTGTCAAGTGTTCTGTATTTGGTTCTAAGTGATTTTAGTATTTGCAGTGTTTTTATTCTAATTATATACTTTGATTCTGTAAGTTGCCCAGAAAGTCCTACGGGCTATGGGGTGGTATACAAATTTAGTGAATGAATACATGAATGAATGAAATACAAATGTGAATAGTAGTTGTGGCCTCATCCAAATCAGACTGTCATACAGTGAAGGGAAGAAAGTAAAGCCTTTTAATTTTCTTTTTTTCTGGGGGGGGGGGCACAGGGTCATCTGGTCTGACCCATCTTTCAGTGATGAAAACTCTATGGGCCATGCAATGGCTCACTCTGGATATGCCCCTTAAAAATGGGGGCAACATATCCACAGTCCTGTCTCTCTCTCTCTCTCTCTCTCTCTCTCTCTCTCTCTCTCTCTCTCTCTCTCTGTGTGTGTGTGTGTGTGTGTGTGTGTGTGTGTGTGTGTGTCTATGTGACAGAGAAAGAAGATGAATCTTCATTAATAATCTACTACCCGCTAGAAAGAAATTTTCTTTATAAAGTCCGATGGGATCACCCCCTTGGCAGGTTTGCTGTCTAGTAACAAAACCATGAACTTTGTGCGGCCTTTATGGCAGGTACCTATAGCAGGTATTTATAGTACGCAGGATGTGCTCTAAGCCCAGCTCCCTCTTAGGGCAGTCTGATGCGAGTTCCTGTGTGGTGGCAACAACTGGGAAGGCACTGCGCATGGCCTTGCAGATGGCACTTGATTTCCATCTCCCACATTTGTAACTGACACTGCAAAACCTGCCTGAAGCCATGTGAAGAGCCGCTTTGTGAGGACAGTTCTCTGGAATACCGGATGCTGCTAGGCAGGCTTTTGATAAATAGCTTAAGAACAAAGTTAGAAGCCAGATGAAAGGACAGCTGATTACCTTGCTGATGTGAAACTCCAGCTTTCTCATATATCTTTCAATTGCTTTCATTTGCTGCAAAATAAATTAAAAATGATTAGAATGAGAAGAGTGACAGACAACTGAGATTAGCTGAACTGATTTGTACTTCTGCAGAACTCGAATATTCTCCTGACAAAGCAATATGCTATTCGAAAGGGACACTGCTGTTCCTGATATATAAAAGTGTCTAAAATTTCATTCTAATACATATTTTAAAAAATCATCAATATTTTGAACGGAGAAGGTCTTTGGGTCAAAGCCTTCCCAGACTTTCTCATATATCTGCTAAAATGAAGTGTAATTGTTTTCTAAATCCAAAAGTCACTGAGAGCCATCTTGAGTTCACACTACAATTGTCTAGAACCACAGCCCTCAAACCACTTTCTCTGAAACAATTAATCCGGATTGAAGCTGGCTGTTGCAAAATGAATGGAAAGGGGCTGTTCCATTGTCCAAATGGATGGACAGGTTCATTTACTCATACCTCGTCCTTTAATTGTGGCATCACTGGAAGGCCTTCCTCATACAAAATCCTACAGATGGTCCTATGCTACACCACTAGGCAAGGCTAGAGTGCTGTATACAATCTTAGTTAAGATGGGTCTTTAAGGCCAACTAGTCCAACCCTTCCACAAGCCAAGCCGTGCCCTGGAGGATATAAATACTGCATTCCTGGAAAACAGTCATGCAGCCTTGGCTTAAATATCCCTATGAAGAACCCACTGTCTTCTGGGAGGTTCACTCCACTGCCAAGTAGCCCCATAGTAAGAAGGCTTTTCCTAATATTTAACTGAAAACCATTTCCCTGCAACATCCAATCACTGGTTCTAGTTTTGTCCCCAGAATGGCAGAGAACAGCTGTGCTCTTTTGCATGATGGATTTTGAGATAATTTAGCATTAGGAAAACATACCTTGTCTAGCTCATATAACACTCCCTGTAATGAATAAAATAACATATTAATAGTAAATAAAGTATTCTTGTAAGGAAGGAAATATGTATACTGCAACATACTGTGCCTGTACCTTAGCTATAATACTTTAAAAAATTTTAAAGAATTGTTCTTCAGAGTAAACATGAATGAAGTTATTCAAAGCAACTAAGCAATCCTATCAGCCTGTGTAAAACATAAATTCATTTCTTTTCTTATGTGGGGTGGGGTGGGGGGTGTCTTATAAATGTTAAAGATAAAGGTAAAGGTTTCCCCTTGACATGAAGTCCAGTCATGCCTGACTCTAGGGGGCGGTGCTCATCTCCGTGTCCTAGCCGAGGGAGCCAGTGTTTGTCCACAGACGGTCCCCGTGGTCATGTGGCCGGCATGACTAAACACCGAAGTGCACGGAACGCTGTTACCTGCCCACTGAAGTGGTACCTTTTTATCTACTTGCATCTGCATGCTTTCGAACTGCAAGGTTGGCAGGAGCTGGGATGGAGCAACGGGAACTCACCCCATTGTGCAGATTCGAACCGGTGAGCTTTCGATCAACCAGCCCAGCAGCACAGCGGTTTAAACCACTGCCACTCTTATAAATGTTACAGATAGAGAAATAACATGACTTCTTAATTTTGTTCAGTCAGTCCAGGTTGGAGACAAGCATTGCTCCATCTACTTCATTAATAAGCTGAATTGTCTAATACATTGCAGTTTTCTATTCATCTCAGAAGGGGGAAAATGTGGCCCTTATACTTGCATTTTCTCCAGACACATCTTTTCTTCAAGACAGATGTATGAGAGATAGTGTAGTATAGTGGTTAAAGTGCTGAAATGAAACTGAGGTTCAGGTCACCACTGAGCCATGAAGCTCCTTGGGTCACCACTATTCTCAGCCTGACCTACCTCACAGGGTTATTGTGAGCATATAGAGAAGAGAAATTTGTACAGCCCGGAGGTTGCAACTTTTAACACCTCAAAGTTCAGAAAAGAGGTGTTTGTTTAAAAAAAATGTGAAAACTGCCATCACAGCAGAGCAATACCGGAAAGGTTTTACACACTCTGTAAATTTGTAGCCACATTCAAACATATGGCTTCCAATGTGAAATTGCTGGAGGTGCAGCCCCCACAGAAGGACTGCACTCATTCCATTATGGAGGTCTGAACTAATTCTTAGTTTTAACATTTAGCATCCTGACACCATAATCCCTTCTCTTACTTAGGAAATAACTCCCAGTTGTTTGATTTGAATGACAAGACATACCAGACGTGAGTTTCTTTTCATGTCCTTTAACTGAGCAGTTAACTTATCCAGTTCTGCTTGATGCACTTCCAGATATTCACTATAAAGATAAGCCAAAATATGAAATATCAGTTGTGTTTTTAATATTTCAACATTAAAGTGCTGATTTCTTTGAAAATAAAATCTATTTTGCAAAGGGCCACTATTTGTTTAAGCAAGTAAAGAATACTTAATTAACAGTACAATCCTGTACCTCTCTACTCAGAAGTAAGGCCTAGGAGTTTAACAGGACTTACTCCTGGGAAAATGTATACTGGATTTTATTCTAACAGAGTCGGAAAACTGTACTTCTCTTGTACATTTCCCATTTATTTAAGTGCAGCATCTGGAGAACTATGCCTTGCAGTCTCTTTTAAAAACTCAGCTAGTAAAAAGGTCATCCACTATGCCTGGTCAGAAACTGCTTGTCAGATAAAAAGGTCTCTACAGACAACCAAGCAAAACCTTTACAAGAGCATGCTCTTTTGCCACCTGGTCAAATCAAGCCCAGACCACTTAAAATATGCTGATCAACAGTTAATAAACGTGATCATAGCAAAGTATTCAAAAGGTACTGAAAGCAAACTTGAATCTGGCTTGCTAAAAAAGAGCAAGATTATCTAAACTGTGGGTAGGCAATGTGGGGTGCCTGTGCACCCCAGAGAGCCCCCAAACACCTTCCTTGGAACTTCACTCCACCCAATTTCTGGAAAAGATCATTTCAAGTTTGTTTGTCCTTTATGAACAGCCACACGTCCCATGGAAGTCATTTTGGCTGAAGCTCAGGATGAGTGATTAAGCTGCCAGTGTGGCATCAGGCCCAAGAAAAGGTTGGTGACACCAGATTTAGGCACATGACAGCTGCCTCATCCAAGTTTTAGATGTGTCACCTTGGACAGCTGTTCAGCCATTCCCCCACAAACCGTGGGTTGCCATTCCAAAAGTCATGTTTAGCCCTCCTTGTCACACACCCAACATACAGAAGCATTTTGACATGCCCGACAGTAGCTGTAAAGTAGATCAAGCTACACCTTTCCATGAGGATACAGAAAGCCATACCCACCAAGCAGATTGGACTGAAAATACGCGGCAGGCCAAACAAGCAAGGGTTGCATGAAATCAGCCCTGAGCTGTGTGAGGAGCAGAAACCATTAAGTGGTTGGGCGTTAGTAAACTGTCTTTGACCTGAGGCATTAAATCTAGCCAAGTGTTCTCTGTAGTCTAGTCAAGGCTATTTTAGTGCCACTCCAGAAGTGCGAACGTTCTTACTCCAGTCCATTCTTTAGGACCTTATAGACTTCTTCCATTCTTTCAGGCTGAGGCTCCTTAGTGGTGCTGCCACTTTTGTGTCCCAGATTGTGCATCTTCTTCACTTTCGCCTGAGGTTTCTTGAGTGCAGAGGAATTTTCAATAAAGGAGTTGCACCTACAAAATAAGCATTAAAAAGGTAGAAGGGGAGAGAAAGGCTATAATTCATGATTATGTTGTTATCTCAAAGGAGCATCCTCTAAGGAACATACCCTAACTTGATCTTGCCTGGCTAAGAGCAATGTTTTTACAGGGCTGCCTGACAGAGGGCTGAAAGTCTGTGGGGTAATAGCCCTGAGTCCACAGGACAACTGGCTATCAGTATCTGATATTCTGCTTGCTAAGACTAGTCCTTTACAGTCCTATTTCTTTGATTTAAATCTGCTGCTGTCCCACTGAAAACTCAGTGAAGCTAAATATGCAATCTACACAATAGATTTCAAACATGTTTTATGTATACAATGAATTGGAAAAACACAAGGAGGGAAAAAAGGAAGAAGCTTTGTAGAGGGTACTTGCCTGGATCTCCTTTCCTGAAGACCGCTGAAGCCAGCAAAAGATTGGCTTCTGATAATCCCATTAGGACCTCCTGGGGAGAAGGACTGTGATCCTACTGACATGATTTCTGGGAATCTGGAAGATACTCCTGCAAGATGAATGGAAGAAAGTCAGCTGCAATGACAAGTCACATGCAGGTTTAAGATACTGCCTGCTAAGTTCTTCTTCCAAACAAAGTTAAAACAAATAGAAGTCATGGGATCATTAGAGATTTGTCAGGCTTCTGGATTTTGATATTTTAATTTCTTTCACTGAGAAGAACTAATTTTAGGATCACAAGTAGTACATATTTGCAGAAGAGAGGTGTGAAACTTCTCTCTGTGGATTTCTATTTCTGTGGATTTTAAAGCTTTGCCTTTCTGTGTTTTCAGGCATCCATGAAAAATCCACACAGCCTCTCAGATATTGTTGCTTTTCCAAACAAACAAGGTCCTTGTTGTTCCTCCATCCTCCTCAAAATGGTTTAAGTAAACTGAGGTGTATTACATTATGTTGACTAGTTATGCAAATAGTAGGTGGGAATTTATATCCAGTTGTGCATTGCCCTAACTGTAGTGCAGCACTAGTGCATTTCAGCGTGTTTTCTGATGTGCAACCAACCCCAGTTTCTTGGTTTGTGCTAACATTTGTGGAAGAGTTTTCTGCATCCCTGCATGAATTTTATCCTCCCCTCCCCCCCCCACACAGATACACACATGCACTCAGAACCACCCAAATTTAAATGATGGAATCATATATGGAAGATACATTCACCAGTCCTCTATCATCTTCACTGGTTGCCAGTTGAGGTCCGGGCCCAATTCAAGGTGCCAACATTAGTGCTTAAAGCCCTAAATGGCTTGGTGCTGGTATCTAAAGGAGAGTCTCTTCCGGAATGAACCTACTGGCACCTTAGAGCCACATCTGAGGCCCTTCTGAGGGAGCCCCTTCCTCAGGAAATAAGGAGGGTGGCAACAAGAAGAAGGGACTATTTGGGAGCGGCACCCCAACTCTGGAATGAGCTCCCTAGAGAGATTCACCTGGCACCCTCTTTGCATTCTTTTTACTTCACCAGTATTTTTATTATTAACCTGTTTTGATGGTATTTTAATAGTGTGATTTGCCTTTCATGAAATCACTAGTTCTTTTAAGTTGGGTGCATTGTTATTGTTTTTTGGTTTTACTGTTTTATTGTAATTTCCTCTTTTGTGTTTTGATACTGTTTTAATGGTTTTATTGTAACCCACCCACAGAGCCATGTGGCTAACAGGATGCCTTAGAAATCAAATAACAAATAAAATAAATAATTAACATATAAGAAAGGTTTGGGTAACTGCTATTACTAGCAGACAATATCAGATTTTTATCAGAGCTAGCTATTTAGAAAGGAAAGGATAACGTAGTTTTCATGTGTTTTAAGCTTTATTGATACCTTCCACCTTTGCAATGAACTTTTAAAAGTTTTGGATTCACATGTTTATGATTTTGAATCATAAGTTTTCATTCGATGTTCAAAGAACTGAACAATGAGCAGCAAGGAGAGACAGGACCAGACTAATAGTTTTTGAGCCTGTGTCTGGCCCATACAAGAGATGTAGGTTAAAAACTATAGAAAGTTGCAAGGAAACTTAGCAGGCATAGCCCTGCCGAGGTGACACTTGCAGAGACTCAGGTTCAAGGACAAAAACATTCTACAGTGCTTCAAACAGGGGAAGGATAACAAGGACTGGTGTTAGTCATGATAAGTTTATTTGCATATGACGAGCTGGCTTCACAGTCAAAAGCCTCTTCCTGTCAAAATAACATAACCCGATGTCAGCATGATGCATTCGATCAGGTCCTTGTTAATATACATAAGATATAAAAAGCTCCCTGTCATTGTGGAACGGATACGTGTGCCAATCTGAAACAAGATGTATGCAATTTTTTTTTCCTTTGAACAAATGTAAAACTTATCTTTCTCTAATTATCTTGAGAAAAAGAAGGGAAATTAATTCTTACTGGAAAGACTGGTTAAAGAATTTATGCCCAGATAGATGAGGTGTTCCATTCAAATAAGACTGTTTTGTTTGGAGAAAAAGTCTCAATACTTTCAACTTTTAAGGAATCCCAGAATTCACCTGGACAAAGTTTGAAAATGACTGTCAAAAAGTCAGCACCATTGCAGGGCACTGCTGCTATCATCATCATCATCATCATCATCATCATCATCATCATCATCTACATTTCTATACCACCCACATCTGAAGCTGTCTGGGTAGTTCACATCAGAATATAAAATCAATAAAATACAATATATAATCCAGCATTTAAAACATTTTAAATCAATTAAAATAGCATTAAATACAGTAACATACAATAAAAAGACCCAACCAAGGAAAAAGAAACAAGGCACTTGGATAAATCCATTAGATTGTTGGATGACCAGGGAGATCTTTAAAGACCTCCACAAAAAGGGCTGTCTTAACTTGGTGCCGACAAGATGGCAAATGTGGGGCCAGGCAGGCTGCACAGGGAGGCTGTTCCAGAGATAGGGGGACACCACAGAAAAGACCCTCCCCCAGTCACTACCCTCCATGCCTCTTGGGAGGCCAGCATCTGGAGGAAAGCCCAGAGATTGAGTGTAGTGTCCTAGCAGAGTGAGGGTGGGGGACATGCTCTAACAGGTATTGTGGTCCCAAGCCATGCAGGGCCTTATGCATTAATACTAATGCCTTGAATTGAGGCCAGAAGCAGACAGGCAGCCAGTGCAGGCTGGCTAGAACTAGTCTTACATTGTACGGTCACCATAATAAAGCACTCAAGTAAACAACCAGTTATATCACCTTTAACCTGTCTAGTGAGAAGTATAAGAAATTAGTCATAATGTAGCTTAGAGTTTTGCAAATGTTTTATCCCTTTGAAAAATTAAGGACTCTGTAAGTTCTTTTTTTCTTTTACATCTTTAGGAACATAAGAAATTGTCTTACATTAGCTTGCAGTTCCACAGGATAGTAAGACCTGTTTCAGGGCTCTTCAACAACTCACCTTCCAGGGTTGAAAATCACTACTCTAAACCGCCTGGCTGTAGCTGTGCAGGATTCAGACAAGCATCTTTCCTAGCCCTAAATGGAGATAGCAGGGACTGAATACAGGAACTTTGTGTGCAGAGCATATGCTCTACACCAGTGCTTTTCAACCTTTCTACAGCTGGGGACCAGAAAAAACAGGAAAACCGCCTTGGGGTCTGCTGAGGCAGAAACAAAGAGCACCATACACATAATACAGTATTCTGTGTATTGCTTTCCAAACACAATACCAAAAAATGAAAACCAAAAAATAATACCACAGTACCAAAAAATTCTCCAGAACAACCAGAAACTGAGCAACAAAACATTCCAACAAAGGAACAAAATACTGAAATCGGCACAGCGTCGCTCCCACCAAGCTGTCTCTCCTCTTCCCAGTTCACCCAGCAGATCCCCTGGAAATGTAGTGGCAACCAAGGAAGAGGAGGTGGAAAACAGCCAGTCCCTGCCCTGGTCTGCAGCAGGTTGGACTGCGCCCCCTCTGCCTTGGACTGGCAAAACCCTGGCGCTGGTCCGGGGACCCGTGGTTGAAACCCACGGCTCTAGACCACTGTGATGTGCAGGAGAAGTGAATCCCCCACCTCAGCTGGTGGAGCAGCAAATCAGGCACTGCACCTCGCTTTGCCAGGCAGGCCTGCCCTGGCCTCATTCTGGGGAGGGGGCCCTACCGCAGCTGCTTCAGAGAGCCCGGCAAGCGTTCTGTGCTGCGGCATTTGCACTGTCTTCCCCAGAGTCAAGGGAAGACTGGAAGGCTGTCCCAGAAGATCTTATACTGCTACTACTTGCCAACTGAGCTGAAAACACATGACAGCCCCGCCCTGAAATAGAGGCTTTTATACTCTGCACTGCAAGCAGAGGTTGGATTGTGCCCTTTTTTAGGATGTGCAGATCTGAAAACCTGAACTGAGAAAAAAAAATCAGCCCAGATACTTAACTCTTCCTGCCTTGCAAGACCTCTATGACTATTTATCAAGGCCAGCGGCTAACAGTCTAACAACTTAAACATGTGCATGTTCTGCAGCATGGCAATGGAAAGGCCTTTAGAAAGCAACTCATCCTGAAACTAGGCATGATGTAACCGAGGAGCTTTGACAAGAGAAGACCAGATGGATAATCAACGCTGCATATTTTAAATCACTACCATTTACACAGTGGATTTCCTACTCAGACTAATTATAGATGAGTATCTGAAGACATCACATGCTACTTTATTTCTTGCTTAAGCCAGGATAACATTCCTATACTACATTAATATATATCGGAAAGCACAGAATATACAAGCATGGTTGCACACCATTAGGAGCATTATTAGCATACCAAATGTGATGTTCTGAACACTCTAACCCCAGCTGAACTAAGTAGCTTGCTAATCAGTGATCGAGGTGGGAAAGAGGGCTGCAGAAGCAGCTAAACAGAATGAAGATGAATTGTAGATTTGAACATTAAGATGTCGAATAATGAAAAAAATGTGATGTACCATACTATACAGACAACTCAAGCATAAAATACATGCACTATTCAGGGAAAGAAATCTATTTATTCATTATGTTTATTACGCAGGTATCTTACTTCTAAATACATTAAGGTTCCTTCATTAGAACAGTATTATTAAGAGCTGGAAGGAATCATTGTACTGCTGGTATTTTTAAACAATTGGGAGTCAGACTCACCCAGGAGCTACACTCTGCCCAATCTTGAATTACAAAACACATGCAGTCAAGAGTTGCAGCTGCAGCACCAGGATAAAACCACTTAAATATAAAGAAAAATGTGTTCAGTGTATTCCTGTACTTGGCAGGTCTCTTCAGGGAAGGCTTTCCATCCTTTGGTGCCACTATTTCAGAGGACCTGTCTCTCATACTCTAGAGCAGGGGTCCTCAAACTTTTTCCACAGGGGGCCAGTTGAAAGGTGGTGGTGACGGGCACGAGCCAGTGAGGCGGTGGCGGGCACGCATGAGGCAGCGACGGCTTGCTCACTCAGAGATCTCCGAGCGAGTCCAAAAGCATCTCCGAGCGAGCAAGCCACCGCCTCACCACTTGT